TGAAACACAGAGAATGCATCAAGAGGAATAAGACAGTCTGGGCTGAGGCCAGGGGGCGTGGAGGACAAGGCCTGGGAGGTCAGGATAAGAACTTGGGAGCATCAGGGGGGACGGCGCATAGTCCCACTTCCACGTGGAAACCTGCTCTCTGGCTGCAGAAGGAGAGCAGATAGGAGGGCTCGGGTGGACAGCTGCCACGGGACCTCTGAGGAGAAAGCTGGCTGGAGGGGTGGGGGCCCCCTTGCCTCCCTTTGCACCCCTTCTCCCAGGGTCTTTCCTGATCTCTGGCTCCAGCCTCCAGGCGCTCTGCAGGAATGCGGAAATGCCACGCCCACGAGCGACTGCTGATACTCCAGGTGCTTATGAATATTATCTCCCCGCCCTGGGAGATTACCCAGAGCAAGCCAGTGTGTGGAAAAAGGACCCAAGAGCCCTGGGCAGGGGTCCAAAGTACTGGGTTCACTGGCCCCTCCTGAGCTTGCCGTTGTGCCTCAGATAAGTCACTTGCTTCCCAGTGATCTTAGTTCCCTCATCTGGTATCAATGGGACTAGCACTGAGTCTGGACTAAATTCAAGTCCAGACAGTGTTTTACTGTAGAAAGACCCCAAGCTTTAGGGTCAGACAGGCTCAGACGGGAATCCTTGTTTGGATTTGAGGCTATGTGGTCCGACGCTGGCCACTTTGCTTCTGGAAGCCTGCAGCTGGCTAGGGGCCCACACTTTGAGAAGCACTGCCCTAGAATAACATCCCTCAGGGAGGACAGCCTCTGATCTGCTCACTTCTATGCCCCAAGCAGGGCTGGGCTTATAGCAAATCCTTGCTGGGTGCCTGGGGATCCTGGGCTCGGAGTGGTCTGTTTTGGCTGTGACTGAAGTGGGTGGAGGGCGGGTGTGGGTCAGGGGATGTTGGCAAGAAACAGATCAGGAGGAGGGTAGGGCTTCTAATGCCAGGCAAGGCGCTGGGACTTGGGGTCGCTGAACATAGTCCCCAGAAATGTCCACATCCTCATTGCTGGAACCTGAGCACGTTACCTTCTGTGGCAAAAAAAAAAAAGGACTTAGTAGATATGATTAAGTTAGGGAATGTGGGATGGGGAGATGATCCTGGATTATCCTGGTGGTCCCTAAATATAGTCACAAGAGCCCTTCTAAGAGAGTGGCAGGAAATTTGGCTACAGATGGGAGAAGGAGTTGTGACAAAGGAAGCAAGAGGGGCAAGATGTGAGAAAGGGCTCATGAGCCAAGGGGAGCAGGTGGCCCCTGGAAAAGGCACGGAAAATGCACGGAAAGAGATTCTCCTCTGAAGCCTCCAGGAGCAACCAGCCCTGCCAGCACCTTGGTCTCAGACTCCTGACCTCCCAAACTATAAGGGAATCCATCTGCCTTGTTTTTGGCCATTGAGTATTACAGCAGCCCTAGGAAATGAATGCAGGCCGATATCCAGCAGGAGCGGTGGAGGTCACTGGGTGGGGCACATGGCCAGAGAGGTGACAAGGGCCACTCTCTCCGGGAGTCTCCCCTTGGCTGGTGCCACCATGCCCCTGACCCAGCCCCACCCTGCCCCAAGGGCAGGCCCAGTTAGGCCCTTCAGAATTCTCCACTCAGAGGGACACCTCCACCACCACCCCCTCCCCCCGCCCCAGCAGGGATAAGGGCCTTCGGTCAGGTCAAGGCTGATTTTTGTCCCCAGACGGAAAGCAGAAAGGACATGTTATCAGTCATCAGGGAAGCTGGGAGCCAACCTCATGGAGGGCCACACGAAGCCCTGATGCCCTGGCAGTCTCAGTGGGAAAATCAACCTCTGGCTGTTCGTGGCCTCCTTCACCCCCCACCCAGGCCCCCACCAGTCCAACTGGTTCACCATCCTCCTCTGCCCAACCCCTCTGCCCACTGTTTCCGGGGCCTGGAGGACAGAGCACGGCCACGGCCACACAGGACGTGTGCTCTGAAGGCCCTGGCTCCGTGGCTGCCGTGTGTGACCCAGGCAGGCCCAGCCTCTCAGCTGGCCTCAGCCTCATAGCCCCCCCTCCCAGGGTGGCCATGAAGATCGGAAGAAAAGGTGGGCATTCATGGTCCATAGTGTGCCCCGCACCCAGAGGACAGCCAATCAGGGGGGGCTGCTATTTCTGTTGTTGCTCAGAACGTGGCTTTGGCTGACTCACTAGCTTGTGTCACTTGGGTAATTTACTTATCTTTTCTGAGCCTCAGTTTTCCCATCTGTGAAGTGGAGCTTAAACAAGCATAGGGTTGTGGGGAAAGTGGAATGAGGTCATAAGTCCAAAGGGTCCAGTACCACCCTGGATGAATAGGGTGTTTTCCCGTCTGCATTTAAGGCTCAGCTTGGAGGTTTGCTCCCTGGGATGGGCTCCCTGGGCCATGAACCGCCTCCTCTGGGTGCCCAGCACACTGGGTTTCAGTCCTTGGCACATGCTGCACCGAGCTGCTGCCCATCTACTCTTAAACTAGACCATGAGCAATGACAGGTGGTGAGACCTGGGGTGGGGGGCTTGCTTTATTTCCCTTTGCACCCTTAGCACCCAGCCCAAGGATGGGGATAGGATGCCCACAGAATGATTATACATGGAAACAATGGCCAACGTGTACAGCGGGCACCTAGTGGGTGCCCGAGTAGCGTCAGCTGTTGTTGCTAAGTGCTTATTGAATACAGTTCCCTACGGACTAGGGGTGAAGGCAGCCTCTTCACCAGGGGGTCACACAGGTAAGAGCAGCGGGAAGTGGCATGCATGACTAGACTGAATCGTGTCAACAGCCTTCTACGGGGTCTACTCTCTGTGCTTTGTTCTTTGTTTTTTTTTTTTTTTTAATATTTTATTTATTTATTTGAGAGAGACAGAGATAGTGAGAGAGAGCTCGAGCAGGAAGGAGGGGGAGAAGCAGACACCCTGCGGAGCAGGGAGCCCGATGCGGGGTTTGATCCCGGGACCCTGGGATCATGACCTGAGCCGAAGGCAGAGGCTTAACCATCTGAGCCACCCAGGCACCCCTGTGCTTTGTTCTTTGTTTGCTTCGTGATCTAACTTAGCTTTGTGCTTGAGGCTGCTTCCTGAATGGGGGAGGGAATGGGGAAGGACACGGTCAGAGGGGGCCTTACCCATCAGGGCCGGATGTGGAAGGCTCCAGATCTCCATTTTGGAGAGACATTGCTCGGTGGTTTGGAAGATGGATTTGAGAGGGAGAGTCTCAAGGTTAGGAGCTGGAGGCAGGAGCAATGAGGCTTGTTCCAGAAGGCTGGCAGTGGAGGGGTGGAGGGCCCGGGACCCAAGTCTATGGCAGGACACTCCACACCTGGCTGCTGCAAGGACCAGAGGGGACATGAGGCCCAGGGGTCTGGCTGGGCAGTTTTGCTCCCACAACGCTCCACAGGGACCAGAACCCAGAAGGTGTGGGGCTGCGGCATCCGCCCAAGCTTTTCTCGAGTCTGATGCTCAATTATTGAGAGGAGACAAGTGTCCCATTGGGGCTGTAGAGCCTGTTCACATCTCTTGACTCACGTGGGCATCAGGCAACCCTGGGAGGTGAGCAGGGCAGGCTGCATGAGGACAGACCCCACCCCCTAGGAGATGAGGAAACAGAAGCCCAAGAGGGGCAGGGACTTGCTCACACCAAGGAGGGAGGGAGAACAGAGCTGAGAGCGGGGCTATGCAGTTGACTTTCCATGCCTGTGCATCAGAACAAATGCCCAAAATGTCATTCTGCATCCTCGGGGCTCAGCACAGTTTCCAGCATGTGGTGGGAAGTTGATAAAGGTTTGCAAATGAATGGACAGACGGACGGACGGACGGACAGACGGATGGATGGGGGGGGGGGGGGGTTGGTCACACAGACCTGCATTCTGGGAGGCAAAGGCATGGTCTGTGGGAAGAGTAAGGAAAGCAACATTTGTTGAGCACTTTCACGTGCCAGGCGTTCTACCAGCGCCTTTCACTCAGCCCCCTCCGCAGCTAGAGTGCCCACAGACCGGTCAACGTATTCTCCATGCTGTGGGTGAGCTTCCTCAGCGCCACTCAGGTCTCTAGTGGGGTTTCCCTCAATACCCGGCATTGACTTTGCCATCAGTGCATGTATCTACATCTCATTCTGATCCTGTTTATTTTTTCAGCCTGGATACCTCTTGGGGGTAGAATCCTGGGGCATCCTCTCTCTCACATCTCCTGTACCCCAAACATCCAATGCTCCCCAAGCCTATTTTTTTTTTTTTAACAGCCTCCTAGATTTTGCTCTTTTCCTTTCTCCTCTCTTATGGGCCAGTGCACATCCCCCTTCACCGATGGCCCCATCTCATCCTTCCGGTCCACGTCTTTCCGGGAACCAAAGCTCTCTTTCCAAAGCACAGAGCTGCCTGGCTTCCCTCCACCCTTGCTTCTAATCCTTCCATCTTCCCCTGAGACCAATGGTACAAGGTCCAAGCCCCTAGCCTGACCTACAAGGCTCTGCCTTCCCAATTTGGCCAGCCCTCTTTCTCCTCTGACCCGAGCACCCCTAGCATAAGAGCGGGTGCATCAAAGGGGCTCAATGAACGTGGACCGAGCTGGGTTTGTGGTTACTCCCTCGGCGGCAGCATCAGTGCCTGGCCATTTGAGGGCTGTCCTGGAGAGCTTGGGTGAACACCTCACATGACTAACCAAATGGCAGAGTTGGGCTCGAACTTGGGATTCCCGATTGTAAGGACAACGTAGCTAGAATAAAGGGCCCACAAGTTCTGGAGTCAGAGATCTCTGTCCAGGTCCCAGCTGTGTGGCCCTGGTCACGCGCTCTGAGATTTAATGTGGTCCTTTAAAAATGGAAGTCAAAGCGTCTACCTCGGCGGGCCGTTGGGAGGATGGAACAACATGAGGTTGGCAAAGTGCTCATGAAGACTTCCCAGCACAAAATGTTCGACCAGCACCTGGGGAACGACTGCCACCTTCGCGGTCGCCATTACTGGGATCCCCCTCCCCGGGGCGCTTGTCCCGCACAACACACACACTCAGGGCGGTTACCTGTCTGAGGCTCCCCTCGGGGCTGTGACCTCTGTCCCACTCCACACCTGCAGCTTCAGGGGCTTCTCTTCCTGCTGCATGGGTTCTCGGCTTTGGTTCCTGGTCAGCTGAGAGCTGCCAGCCCTCCGAGTAGTCTCCTGGGCACTGTGGCTGGTGGGCCCGCAGCGGAAGAGCTGCTGGTATGCTGTGCGGAAGTCTCTGTTCAGCGTGGCGTACAGGATAGGGTTCAGGGCTGAGTTGGCATAGCCCAGCCACAGAACAACAGCTTCAATGGCCTCGTTGATGTCATCATCCCCTACCAGCCCCCGGTAAACAAACACGGTAAAGTAGGGGAACCAGCAAATGATGAAGGCTCCCATCACGGCGGCCAGTGTCACTGTGGCTTTGTGCTCCCCGATGGTAGCCGCCTTCCAGGAGCCCATGTGATGGATCCTCTTGGCCTGATGCCGGGCAATCTTGAAGATGCGGTAGTAGGTGATGCACATGACCAGCAGCGGCAGGTAGAAGGTGACCAGCCCATCCACCAAGCCGTACACCAAGTTGACCTGCACTTTGCACTTGGGGATGGTGTGATTGAAACTGCTGTTCTTACTCCCGCTGTTCCACCCCAGATGGATAGACAGGAAGGACAGGGTGATGGAGATGACCCAAATTAAGACAAGGGAGACAGCCACCCGGACTGGGGTGACCAGCACGGGGTAGCGCAGGGGGTCCGTGACAGCGCAGTACCGGTCGAGGCTGATCATGAAGAGGTTGAGGATGGAGGCCGTGCAGAGCATCACATCCAAGCTGGTATAGATGTTGCAGAAGACCTTGCCGAAGCTCCACTTGCAGGATAGCTGGTAGAAGGCCGAGAAGGGCAGCACCAGGAGGCCGAGGAGCAGATCGGTGATAGCCAAAGACACAATGAAGCAGTTGGTCAGACTGCGGAGCCGGCGGGTCAGGCCCACAGCCAGGCAGACCACCACGTTGCCGGCAATGGTGATGAGGATGAGGACAGTGAGGACCACGCTGACAGTGATCTTGCATGGGGGAGAGTCCAGACAAAATGAAGAGGCTGTGCCATTAGGTACCATCCTGGGACCCTACGGCTCCGTCCTCTGCCGGCGGACCCTGGCCACTTCTTGCCCAGCTTCCCAGTGTGTCAATTATGTCAACCACTGGGCTCTAGGCTCCCAATGGAGCCAAAAGAAAATGTCCAAATGTGGGGAGGTGACAATGACTGCCCAGTGCCGTTTTCCTAGAAATAAATAAAGCAGTCTTCTGGGAGGTATCGAGCATGAGTATGAATGAAGAAGAGCAAAAGGAGAAAGCTCCTGGTTAAAATTCCAGTCCTCACATCACCCCCTGCTGAGCCAGCTTCCTCCAGGGACTGGAGCAGGTCTCTACTCTCCAGGTTTTGCATAGAGAGTGAGGCACTGGAGCATGTATCTGGAGGTGGCTTTCGTTTTATTCGGGAGGGATCATGTGGCGAGGTGGCCGCATCCTTCTCCATAGCTGGTGGAGGCTCCCACCCATGTGATGGGGGTCAGGGACTGCTGCATCTGCCTCTTAGGACCACTGGCAAACAGGAGCTGAAAACGCAAGCATCCAGTGTTGAACACTTTGAAATCAGACCAAGAGCATGACCGATGCGAGATGAATCCTTCTAGACCTTCTACACCTTGACCTCCCTGGGAGACACCAGGAGGCACAGGGTCAATCTGGATGCCTCTCTTTAGGAGGGACTGAGGCAACCAGGATGCACAGCGGGAGGAGGAAGGGAGGCAGGATGCAAGGGGCTGGACCACTGTGGCACCCTGTGAGATATGGTTGGAGGGGTAGGACTATTTATACGGGAGAAAGAAAGAACTAGACACAGACTCTAAACACCACAAGAACAGGGGCTGCGTCTACTTGTTCACTGCCAGTTCCCGGTGCCTGACCCCAAAGGTAGGCAGTAAGCATCTGATGGATAAATGATCAGATGAGTGAATAAATGAGCAAATGTAATGGCTTTGCTCCGATGAGGCACTGAGAGCAGTGTCTGACACTGTTGGTTTCACAAAATGTCATCGTACCATAAAGCAGGAGCTGATCAACTTTCTCAGCAGAGAGCCAGGTAGTAAGTACTTTCTGCTTTGCATCCCCCAAGGTCTCTGCTGGAATGACTCACCTCTGTCCCTGTAGCCCGAAAGCACCTACACGGACAATGTGCAAATTAAAGAGTGTGTCTGTGCTCCCATGAGACTTTACTATGGGCACTGGCATTTGAATTTCGCATAGCTTTCACGTGTCACAAAATAGGATTCTTCTTTTGATTTTTTCCAACTCTCTAAAACTATTTCCAAACGCTTTAAAAATGTAAAAGCCATTCTTAGCTCATGGGCTGTGCAAAACCAGGCAGAGGGCCAGATTGAGTCTGCTGTCATAGTCTGCCAGTGGCAGGCCCTGCCCACACCTGCTCCAAACATCGCTCTCAATCTTTTCTTATCTGGCGGCACATGTGGTTGGTCAGCCGGCGCAGAACTGACTCAGTCTCTCCGATGGCTGCCTGGCAGCCCACGGGGTGGCTGGCCACAGTTGATCCTATTATGCCTTCATCAGGGGTATTTTGGTGGTTTCCAGCTCCTTCCTCCCTCCCATCTTCCTACCTTCCTTCCACCTGTCCCAATGCAAACCTCACTTTAACAGAAAGGCTGCACACACAATATGTCTTGGTTAAACCCCAGAAATCCCCTCCTACTGGTGATATTCTGTGATTCCAATCGATGAAAAACAAGTGAAGGCCCTGCCGATTCCCTTTCATGCTAGCCGATCCTGGTTTTTCAGAGAGCAGCTAGCAGGCAATGTACTGGGATCTGGGAGCCTGCAGAAATCAGGATGACAGTGGAATCCCTCTCAGAAGCAAGCTAATCGCCATGTGACATGAATTAAGCCTCTCCTAGGCTCTGGCCTGGAGCGGTTTTGCAACCTGAATATGAGAAGCATCATTTAATCGTAACCACTGTGTTGGTGCAGGGATCACGGCTCCTGGTCACCTTCTGCCGCTCCAGCTGGTTCAGCCACCGTGCTTTGCGAGCTGGGCCTCTGGGTATTATTTTTAGAAGATCTTTTCATTACATAAATAACGCAAGCAGCATGGTTCTCACTGGTACATTTAATTAACTGTGGACGAGATAGCAGCAAGGCTATCTTTTTTGAGAATCCCTATTTCTGATAACAATTTTTTTTTTCTGAGTTTCTTAACAGCCCGGTGTAGGTATTTTGGCCCCGGACCAACGTTTTAGCTAATGTTTGGGGTTTTCAAATCTGAACGAAGCAGCCTTTCACATAATTTGAAATCCATCCTCCCCTCCCTTCTTCTTTCCTTCTCTTCCTTCCCTCTGTTCTTTCCGGCCCGTATTTCTTTCAGACCTTACAACACGGCCAACGCTGTTCTAGGTGCTGGGGGCACAATGATGAACAGAGCAGTGCTGGTCCCTTTTCTCATGGAGTTTCAAAGAAGAATCACTACTGTCGTGTTTCTCTTTTACAGCCCAGGTCCCAGAGTTCCTGGTGACCTTCCGTGAAGGCAGGAGCTTTCGAATGGAGCTTCACCCACCCTATAGCCTGTGGGTAGAGAGACCGCCCCAGAGCCATAGCACCGCAAGATCACTGTCACTGTTTTCATCATCCCAGACAACATAAAAACACTTTCTCGAACTTTCCTTTCAAACTTTCGAAGCAATGACAAGCTTATTACAGTAAACCCAGTATCCCGAGGGATACAGAAAAGGCCGACTCTTTGTGTGGTCACACGTCCAGGCCCTCCTGCCTGGAAGGTGCCTGCTGCTGATGGTTTGGTGTGATGGGGGCCTTCCCTTCTTTCCCTGTGCTTCTCTGTGTACACGCTCTCCACATTACGGAGCAGCTCGGTTTCCCTAATTCCTTTATTGTATTAGCACACCCCTCTCGGTCACTTAGGCTTCACTCCCTCTTTTGAGAACCTATGCTGTGGCAATCAATATAGCCTCTGTCGGGCTAAATGTGTGAAGGACGTCTGTGACAGCAGGTTTGCACGCAGCAAAAAGCAGGAACCCACCAGAGTGTCCAGCAGCAGGGGATGGCTTGAGAGATCATGGTGCATCCTCACTGCAGGATCGCTCTGGGCATGCTGAGATCGCATATTAAATGAAACATCATCTCATCCTCACAATAACCCACGAGTGAGGGAAATCACTGCTGTTATCTAGTGCCTGGAAGAGTGAGGCTCAGAGAGGCCCAGTGATGTCACAGGCCTAGTAAGTGGTCAGAGAGTCTGGATTCACACTCAGCTCGCACTCCTTCAGCCTGCCTTAATGCCTGTGCTCGGATCAGACTTCACCCCGTCCTTCCAGCTGGATCTCACCAAACACTTCTATACTTGTCCTCTAACTCTGCCATTCAGTTAACCCAGCTTTTCCCCCAAACGTATCACACCCTCTCACTCTTTGCCTTTGCTATCTCCCTCACCTGCAGCTCTGCTCTTCCCTCTGTTCACTTCGACTACTCTCCTTTCAAGGCCCTGCTCAAACACCTCCATCTCCCTGGAGCCTTCCTGAATGCCTGGAGGCAAAAGCATTCTCCCCCGTACTTTGCACCGAGTTATACTTTGGCACCTACTGCCTTGCAGTGTTAATATGGCTCTGTGTTTGCCCTCCCCACAGGGCCTGGATCTTGCCCACCTCTCTCCACCCCCCATCCACCCATCCACCCACCCATCCA